TTATAAACATGCAATGTATGACTAGAGTATTCTGATTTAAAAAAAAATAAAAATGCCCACCAACCATGAACTTTGTGTCAGTTGGAGCTGGAGGGCTGCAAAGAATGAAATTTCTTTTTGGATTGATAGGAGCAGGAGACAGACCCCAAAGCATGGTTCGTCTATATTTTTATATCCTGAACTTGTACATAAAGTAAAAATCTGAAGCTTTTGGAGGCAAGGGTTGTTTTGCAGTACATCACGTTGGAGGTACTGCTATGAAATCCTTTCCATAGGCTGGCTGGGAGCCGAGCATGGGGGTAGCCTGGGATCTGGACAGTTTCCTGGTCAGACAAGAACCAAGAATGCCTCCAGACAACAGGGCCTGCTGGAGCAATGAGCTGATGACTCTGCTTGACCGGTCAACTGCTGTTGATGATCTTACTCACATCTGATAACACAGGCACATTTTGTACCCTTCTTCATCCTCCTTTGCTTTCCAAAGTTTAGTTCTGAGGAGGGCTGGAGAAACCACATGCTTTGCAGTTTTGGATTTGGTGATTTTTCTTAATTAAACTTCCAACAATGTTCCTCTACCCCGCTGTTGCATCTGGCAAAACTTTATCTCACTTACTTCACTGTGCATGCTTGAAATATGGGATTGTTTAGTGTACTTGTCGCTATGATTTCAGAGGCAGAAGCACTGATGGGAATTAGACCTTTGTAACTGGAAGCAACTTTCTGGGTCATTAAATTCTGTGTTCCCAGTATATGTCAGCTTTGCCACTAGTGGTTTACAGGATGACCCTCATACACAGGGAGAAAAATTCAAATCCTGCTCAGTAATTTTGGAGAATTGTTTACTAGTACATCTGGGAGGAAAAAAAGTTATCCATTACTACAGGTATCTAAAGTCATGATTTCCAGCTTTTTGCTGGGAATGATTAATTTTGTTTCACACCTAAATAACCATTCGTGATCCTTTACTAGAAATACATTTTTTTTTTTTTTGTGATGGAACTAGAAGATAAATCTGATGTATTTGTCATATCAGGAAAGGCATGTGAGATGCATAATACTAAATATCTAAGTCACGGCAAACTTTTATGGAAGTCATTTGGATGCTAGAATTTTAAAGATGCAGTTATGCTTTTTCCTTCTATTATGAATGTCAGTGTAACAAAGATGTGTGTCTGATAGGAATATTGGTCTCTAGAACAAGTATAAAGCTCAAATATTTGCTTCTTTTTCTTAATTTTTCATCTTTTCTTCTTCTGATATCATCTCTTTTAGTCTTCATTATTAATCACTAAACAAGAAAAAAATATCCTTTTTAGGATAAGTGAATGGCATACTAGAAATACATTTGCTAAAACCATTGGTACAGCTCTTGGCAAAAGGATATTGAAATGCATCATCTCTCACATAGAGTCAAAAGGAACCTCAGTATGGATGTACTTCAGGAGATGAATCTCTGTACTATCCAGGCTCTGAGGCTTTTGGGGGAGTGGAGGGAAACCAGTGCCTTTGTCCTGATCAGCAAGTTGGCTGGACTGTATTTGGGGAAGAGGAGGAAGTCATGTGGAGAGGACTGGACTGTGGCATAACTGAGCTTTGAAAAATTGTCTTGAGTTTCTCTTTATGTTATTTTGTGTATGTGTGCAGCTATTACTCTTTAATCGCCCTTAATTCCATTAAGAATACTTAGAGGAGAGGAACTATGACTCTGGGTAAGTCACACAGCACGGAACCCAAGGGAAACTTTTGGCTTCATGCTACTCTGAATCCTCAAGAAACTGACCAGCACTTAAACTTTGTGTACTATATATATTACATATTAAACCCCAAGAATTTATATTTTTTTAAGAAAGAAAATATTTAAAATTAAGTATTTAAAATATATTTTTAAGTTGTTATTTTTTTTAAAGGATGATTTGCCTGTATATTTTTTTTTCTCAGGCTTAGTAAGCTTTATGTTGTGTATACTGTCCTGTCTTACATGAGAAAGGAGTTTCTGTGAATTGTAACTGGCACTTTGGAAGTTGTGGCTGATGATGTCTTATGTGTTCTTCATTGGCAGGTTCCAGTTGCACACTGTTTTGGGTCTCCAGGACATTACAAAAAAAAGTTTTGCACTGTGTGCAGAAAGTCGTTAGAGTCACCTGCCTTTCGATGTGAAGGTAACTTTAAAAATCATACTTGTAAAGCCATCTATGTGTTATCCAGTAACGTACACCTTGCTTCTGTTGGATACCTCGAGAGATTGAGAGATACCTCGTGTCCGAGAGATTTGGGGGTTATCATCCACTCATTTTTCATGGAAACATGTATTTCGAATTAAGGAATAACATCAGTAGCCTTCAATTATGCAAAATTTTGTCAAATGTGTGCGCTGTCTCACCTTTCCACCAATTTACTTTGAACAAGTCTGAGATGTTGGTAGTGCACAGTGAATCCATGCCCAACATACGCAAAAAAATGAGAGGCTATTATGGCAAAAGAAAGCCTTCTCCTGTTGAGGTAATTTATTTCTATTCCACATGGAAACTTTTGACACAGAGAATCATCAGATATTCATGTTTCGAAAACCTCCCCCTTTCTAGAAAAGAATGGAATATAACTTCTCTGTGTTAGTGTTCTCAGATATCTGTTGCTTGTAATGTGGATGAGGTGCCTTCAATGGAAAGATATTTGAAAATATTTTTTATCAAAATAGTACTGCTCTGAGTGTTCTGACATGGGTTCTCTGAAAAAACAGTAGTTAAAGAAATCACCCAAACACCAGAACTTGAAATATATTTGGGCATGAGTACTTGACTGATTTTGGCATGCAGCAAGTCCTTAATTCTCCCATGTCTCCCCTGTCTTTAATATCTAGTGCTTGTTTTTCTGTTGATGTTGTGAGGCTGAATGGAGTGTACAATTTTAAAGGAGTATTATCTGTGAACGATTTAAAAAAAAAAACAAACAAGATGTCACCTACTAAGAGAAGAACCGATTCTGCAGAGATTTGAGATGCTTTCAAAATTGCTGTTACACTAAAGATAATGTCTTTTTTAATATGGTCACGTGTGTGTTCTCTTTGGTCAGGGCATTTAGATTTATATTGGTGCAGTATTTTTGCTTTTATTGATTGCATAACTAACTTAAACTATGTTCTTCTGTCTAGTGGGAATCTGTTACTTTAATATAGTTGCCATGTGAGTTGGATGATTTGTTGGGATGGTCAAAGAGGTACAGATACCACAGAGAGTTTTCTGCTCTCTGTCTTGAGCTGCAGAACTTGTGTGGTATAAGATATACATAGAGAATTTGAAAAGTAAAATTTTCACTACCTATGTCTTCTTAACTTGTGGAAATGGCTTTAGCATGGTGATCTGTTTTAGGTAAAGCTTTCTAAATTTTGCTTTCATATTCTTACTCTCAATTCTACTGTATTAACATTGTACCCATTGCAAGGGAATATTTGTTTTTCCAGACGTTTCCATTTAAGTGTTCTTAAACAAGAAACACATGAAAGTCCATGTTATGTTTAGGTATTAGAAATGCCCAGACATTTTTTTTCTGGTTCAGTGAAAGGTTCTGTCTTGTGTTCCTCACATGGTTTAAACAGTTTTCTCGTTTTGTGTGGTGTGACTTGTTTCCAGTCCTGTTTTCTGGATACTAGCAAGTCCACAACTTGTTTCTCTGATTCTGGTTTTCCAAAATGTAGCTTAAAAAGGACAGTTAGGGTTCCTAAAACGCACAAGATTCTTCCTTTACTCTTCAAAAATATTTTCAGAATCTGTTTCAGAAACCAGCTGTTGTAAGCTGTAGAGCTTCTAAATCCAGATGGAAATATTGGGCTTTCTTCCTTTTTTTTTAATCTTTTTTTTTTTTTCTTCTAGTGACTTACCTTAGTAGTGGAAGTGTACTCTTGGATTTGATAATCTGTTCTGATATTGAAATCTGAAGAACTTTTCCTGGAATCTTTGCCGTAATTAAGATAGAAAAGAGTGTTAAGATTAAGTTACCTTTTCTATGCAAGTAGCTAGATACACTTTTAAAATAAAATAAAATAAATGATTTTGACACTTTATGTCTTAAAATAAAACAAATTTTTTTGAAAGGAAATTGAAAAATTTCAGACAAATACTAGACATTGTGGGAGCATCTGTTCTCAAAAAATGAGAATACATGCATATTAACCCCCGCTGAGATAAGCACATTGGCAAAAATCACAATATTTGGAATCCACATGCTGCTGACTATTACTCATTTCTTTGGATAGCTATTTTTGCAGTACAGTTCACTGGTAAACATTGAACCTGGACTCATCATGATGAGAGTTGTTCTTCCTTTTCTTTCCAAGAAGAAGGGCTGGAAAGAAAGCAAGAGGAAAAAGGGTAACCCAAATATTTTTTTAGTGTTAGATACTTTACAAGTAAAGTTTCTTACCAGTCATCAACTAGGACCAGCAAATTTACTGGGAAGGGAGGCAGTTAATATTTTAAAGGTTATTCTGCCATGTTTATGTATCTGAAATTAACCAACCTGTTTTTTTGGGAGTTACAAAGAGATTAACATCACTTTAATGAATAGCTTGAACAGAAAGCCATCATTCTGTTATGAGTTAAAGAGTTGTGTAGATTATGGAATGGCTGATAAAGATAACATTTAATTTTGTAGGTCCTTTGATTTGACTCAATCTTTACATACTAAAAATTTCATCTTTCCAATCAGTAGGATAGTTATCTTAAGGGTTTAACCCACGTGACACTTCTGCCTTCACATGCACACATTTTCCTACTAATTCTGAGTTGGGATTGGTGTTAGAAGCAGCAGATGCGAATTAAATCAAGGCAAGAAACCTCACTGTGTTCTTACAAAGTACAACTAATGGGCAGTGTGTGCCTGTATTTGCAGAATTAACAGTTAAAAAACCCAACAATTTTGTTAGTTCCTTGGATCTATAATTTGGTCTACTGAAACTTTAACCTTTAGTGAAGGTACAATTCCAAGCATCTAGCTTGCCTGGTAGGTGAACTGGCAAAGCTGTAAAATATTACTGCTTTATCTATGAATATGGAGAAATGTGAATGGAGGAGAGACTGTGTCAGACCTCATATAAAACTTCTTGAGCTGGGTGAAGGCATACAGCATGGGGAACTGAACATGAAAATTTGTGGTTGACTTCATGAACCCTTTTAAAGAGGCCTTGGTTTGTTATGGTGGTAGGTCATGGTCTTCTGCGGGATTAGAAGAAGACAGTGCTTGTGCTGATCACCTTTTCTAAAGCACAGAGTGATTTCAAAATAAGGTATTATTCTCTACTTAGTTTAATATTGTTTTTAAGATACTTCCAGATAATGTGTCTAACCGGTGCAGTTTGCCACCTTCCAATATTCAGGTTACAGTCACAGATTCTTGTGATGTGCTTGGAGCAGTACCCTGTTTGAGCAGAACAGAAAAAAATATTTGAAGAATTTTACACTTCCCTCTCCTATTTACTCAATGAGAAATCAGGTGCCTTCCCAGAGTGCTTGTATACACAAGTCTTTAAAAAGCAGCTAGAGGAGGATCTTTTTAATCCATCTCCATCTAGAAGTTCCAGAGGGAACTTTCCTAACTCATGCAGTAATGAAGCTAGACATTGACATCTTCTAGTTGTATGTGTTCTAAATGACTGATCCCTTGCAGCATGGTGTTTTAGGTGTTTGTGATTTTTGTGTAGATTTGTTTTTCTTTCACAACTGATACTTATAGTAGATTTTAAAATAATGAAGGTACTTTATCCAAAACAAACTTGCCTGAAACTTTATAGGCTTCACTAACACTTCTTCCAGCTACAGTATCTAACAGTTATTTTGGAAGACACTGTTGAGCTTCCTTAGGGGAGTGTGCTGAAAAAAATGTTTTCCTGAAGATAACAGCGTGACTTACCATATGCAGACATAGCTTGGACAAATCTTCTGTGAAATTAACATACCATTTTATGCTGATCATGTTTAAAATTAAATCCACTGAGTGTCATAGAATCATAGAATGCTTTGGGTTAGAAAGGACCTTTAAGGCTCATCTAGTCCAACCCCATGTGGGTATAAAAAAGATTTATTTCCTTACTAAAATGGATTTCTGGCTGGGGAGGTGCTGCTGCTTTGGCAGCAGTGCCCCCTGCTTTACTGGGTCTGGGTCTCATTTTTTTACAGCTCCAGGGATGGAGAGAGGGGCTGTCCAGCAGAAAAGAATCTGTGAACCCACTCATGAAGTGCACACTTGCTCTGAAATAGGGTTTGGAAAGGGATTTATAAAGAGAATGGAGTATTGCCTCAGCAAGATCAATACTTTGCACTGAAGACTTGGTGTTACCTGGATGCAGAAGGAGAACTTTCTGTCCTTCTGTTAATGCTTCTAACATTCAGCTTTTTTTTTTTTTTTAATTTGATTAAATCAAGGTGACTTCAGGCATTATAATATTGGAGTAGGCAGCTGTGAAACTCAGACAAAGTTGTAATAAGCTGAACAGTTGTTACAAATATAACTTGGGGGAAAAACTGGAGGAAATACAGCAAGTGCTTGTGAACAAAATTAGCTTAGCCTTTCCTTACACTTGCTGCATCAGTTCAACATGAAGGAAATGGAGCAACACAAAAGACACTGCTGATAAACTTCTTGTATTGCCTATCTCTGCTGAACAGAAAAGATCACGAAGGAAAGAAAGTATGGTGTGAAAAGGTAGTGGAGGAGTATTGGAGGGAGGGAGGGAGGAGCTGAAAAATCCTGAGGCTTCCAGCTTAAAGATGTTTTCTTGTTTTCATGCTTTTAGTTTGTGAGCTACATGTGCACACAGACTGTATCCTGTTTGCTTGCAGTGACTGCCGGCAGTGTCACCAGGATGGGCACCAGGACCACGTAAGTGTGGATGCCTCTGCAGCAGGGAGTGATCAAACGTCTTTGGTGTGAAAACATGGGCTAGAGGAGCCAGAGCTTATTGGGAGGCAAAGGAAACATGGCGTCAGAATATATTGCAGAGAGCGAGATGAGCTTAAATTCTGGCATGGTCATGATGCCTGTTGAAGCTGTGCTGAGAAGTTGGTGCAATGTAAACAACAACCTGCTAATCTAAAAATTTGCATTGCAGATGCCAGCATGGGACTCTTTTTTATATATTGAGGTGTTGGCTGCATTGCATCCTGGCAAACGTTACTACGTTGCTCAAGCTTCCTGCAGGCTGTCTGAGGAAAGACTGCCCAGCTTCTCATTATAAAACACATGCATAATACTGACCTTTGAGGATTATTTTTTTTTTTTAAAGAAGAGTATTGGTTGTGGTGGACTGTTGAAAAAATGCATTATGTGATAAATTTTTTAACAGTTTGATAAACTTGTGGAATATAAGATTGTTTGGGTTCATATTCTTAATATTCTACTCTGTGTTGCTCTTTCCTCAGAGATACGTGAATCGCTGATTTTACAGCTAGGTTGAAGATGGTTTTGTGTCTGTTTTGCTTAACTCTAATTCCTGATGTTTACTCCCAGGATACTTATCACCACCACTGGAGGGAGGGAAACCTTTCTTCAAGTGCTCGTTGTGAAGTTTGCAAAAAAACATGTGGCTCTTCTGAGGTGCTGTCTGGCATGAGATGTGAATGGTGTGGCATCCTGGTATGTTGTGCTGTTGCATGTATTTGTGGGAACCATATATGTGTATATATATATGCACATGGTTATTACTTAAACAATTTATATAAATGTACTTTAGATACACATTATAAGCACACTTTGTTTATATACTTATTTATATACATAGACATACATATATATGAGTCAGGTGGAAAATACAGTTTTTCAAATTCAGCCTGTATGGTTGGTGGTTTTTAAAGCTGTCAGTAATGGTTTCTGTGTTTTTCTATTCACATGATGCATGTTTAATCCCTATGCAACGTGATGGTACCCTTTAATAATTTTTATGAAAACCACAGCTTTTCACATACTGATGCACAGCCTACTGCATAGATAACAATTGGTCCATCCACTTAATGCTCCCTCTGACTGAAATATGGTGAAAGTGTAAAGCAGCACCAGATAAGGTGGGAGCTGAAAAGTGTATGCAGTAAAACATTAATTTGGCACTCAATGCAAAATGAGGTACTCTGTGTAATAATAATTTAAAATGAAACTCTGAAGTTAGTTAGTATTTCAGGTATGCTTTGAATAATTTATTTTTTAAAAAAAATTTTGGGTTTTGTGCTTTTAGTCTGATTCATCATTTCTGAGATGGGAAGGGCTGTCTTTGAGAACAGTGAACAAATGTAACATTCTATATGGGCACACATACACAAGTATGTATATTCAATAATGGCAGGTCTTGCACAAGTATAAAAGCAGAAACTAGCCAGTCATGTTTTGGAATAAAATTCCAAACAGTGTTATCTCTGAATCTGCAAGTGAGTACAGCTGTGTAAGAGGGTGTTGCTATTTTCAGACTTTTCAGTATAACATACCTACCTTTCCCACCCCTCTCAGTAGGTATCCATATAGAATAGCAGATCCAGGGTTTGAGATCAAAATTTTAAACTTCTTGATGTAGCTGTATGAAAACCTTTTGTTTTCAGTAAGGCCAGTTTGTAGTACTTGGAGCTTATACACATGCTAAGACTTCTCATTATTGGTTATATAAAAACTGAAAGGAGCAGATGAAAATCTAGGGTGAAAAATGGGTCACTCCATGAAAAAGTATATATACAAATATATATATACACACACACACAAATATATATAAAAAACATATTATACAAATACATACGTACACACAACTATATATAAAAGTATATACAAAAAGTATATGTATGTCCTAGCCTGAGTTCTACAGTTCCAGTGCATATTTTGTTAATAACAAATTTGCTTTCTTTGTATCTCACTGAGATCTTGATTGGTGATTCTGTTTATAGGCTCATGCTGCTTGCTACATAATTGTGACCCCAGAATGTACTTTTGGAAGATTAAGGAATATGATTCTTCCTCCAAGCTCTGTGCAGTTGTTTTCTCGAAACTTCAGCAAACTGCATTGTTTTCGAATATCAGAAAATTTGCAAACAGAATCAGGTAAAAACTTTGGAAGTTGAGTGCAAGTAATTGATGAGCATGTTTAACCTAGTGTTGTAATTCACTGAAATGTATGATTACTAATTTTCAGTGGCTTTTGTGGCAGTCCTGTAACTTGATATTTCTTGGACACAGTAGAGATTTTTAAACATGGATTATGTGCAAAATACTGAAACTTCTGTTTTCTGGTGCAGGGCAGTTTGAAAACTGCTCTTTAAATGGTAAACATGCAGAAAGTGAGAATTTAAGATCCAAAAATTTCTTTAGCAGATGCAGATGAGTGTTTTGATTGCTACAGACACTTGCTGATATACATGTTGGGGTTTATGTGGCTTGCCACATACACAGATATTTTTATTTGCCTCTTTGATTAAGTATCTGCCTTTTAAAGATTTCTGTACGGAGAGGAAATCTTGTTAATGTTCTGCTGCCATCTAGAGTCTATGTTTGTTTGACAGCTCTTTAAGGAGAAGCTTTTTAAGCTACTGGAGTGTTTTCTAATTTATATTTCGATAATCCTGTTCTTGAAAAGCCTTTATTTTGGTGATTGAATACAATAGGAAAGCAAATAAAAGATAGGCTAAATATAGGTTCTGGATGTTAAACATTTGCAGATGCACTTTTCTCAACCTGACAGGTTCTTCTTGAACTTTCTGCACTGCACAATTAGGCTTTCTTTTGGTGAAAGCAGTTGGTCACCAGCAGAAGCCGCATGCTCTCAGCTGCAGAAGCTGTAGCAGGAGTCCTGCTATTGTGTTTTATATTGTTTGAAGCTCCTTTGAGTACAGACCAGCTTGGGTCAGCTGCCCTGAAAGTTGCTACTGCTTTTCCAGGGGAACGCATAGGCTCTTGATAGCAGATCTTTTTAATGATTGCATACATACTAAGGGTGTTTCTGGGGAGTAAGGAGCATTTCAACTTTGTTGGAGGATAATTAGCATTTCTGTCCTCACTTCTGTGGGATGAGCTGTGCATGCACATTCGTTCAGAAGTCTTCACAATGAGCATTGCTCAGAAGATGGTGAGAAGACTGGTCTGCGGTACCAAAGAAGTGTTAGTGGTCACCTGGATGAGTCAGCTGCTGCAGGCAAAGCTCTTCCCAAGCTGATGGTTGGGAAGTGCCAGATTATATTTCCTAGACAGAGAATGAGCACATCACTGTTGACGTGCTGGGGAGCATTTGTCCAGATTAGCTTTTGCCTCTGAGTAAACACTAAGCTTCACAGCCAACATTCAGTGAACACCTCTGTGCCAGCAATAACTTTTGGGCTGCCAGGGGAAGCAATGGTAGAATAGCTCTCTCTCCTTCCTCCAAATGACTCCTGCCTTAGCGTATTTCAAAAGAAGACGTTGGACTTCATTAGAACAGTTTCAAGATGCTGTTAGGATAGATTTCTCTAATGTCCAGACTAAGGGAGAAAGAGTAATAAGGATTCAGCTTCTTCCCATCTATAGAGAAAGGAGAGGGTTGGGAGCAATCAGGGATTCTTCCTTTTCTTATTGTTGTATTTACTTATTCTTTATTTAATTTGATTTTGTGTTAAATGGAATTTGAGAAGGCATTCAGCTTCCATTTATTTCAGGGTGTTTTAAGACCATATAGTCTAAATTTCTCTACAATTTGAAATGTAATCTGTCTGTCAACTGTAGCAGAAAAGGTATTTCAACCCTTCTTTTATCTTTTAAAAACTCTGACCCAGAAATGTTATTGTTAGTCGTTCATGTAGTCGGTTGAATCATTACCCAAATATTCATTAAGTTATGTGGTCTCCAGTTTAGGACTCTTGACATCTGTGATTCTACTTCTTGGAGGGTTTTCCTGCATTAGCATTCTGAATTCCCTAGTACCTCTTCTGCTCTGAATATCTGTCTTTACTTATTTTTTCTCTCTTGTTTTGTGCTTTGACTTCCTGCTTTCTCCCTCAACTGCAAGGCATCATTTTTATAAAGGTGTTGCCTGGCTTACATCTTTTGGGAACTTTGTGTCTCAGTCAACACCAAGTGGGTGTTTCAAGGGGTAGGAGTGTGAATACCATCACAAGATCAGCACAGTGGGTTGGCCTATGTTGTGTGCGACTGCTACCCTCAGAGAAGAAAAATTTATCACTCCTGGCTGGATTTGTGTCAGTTTTCTTGTATGGACCTGAGGGTCAGGAGTGGAATGCAGTCAGGATGGTATCTTCACAGAAGCTAATGCAAATGTCAGTAGCTTTTATATTAATCTTTTCTAAGTATTTTATATGACATGTTGAGTCCTAGCTTTTAGTGAGAGGAATGAGCTGCTGCCAAAGTCCTCTTCTGGAGTGCAGTAGTTTCCTTCCCTTTAATTGTCAGCAAATCTATTTTTCACTTACAGAAATTATTTATAAATACCTATACTTCTTACTGGAAAGCTGCTACTGCAACTTACAGACCGATTTGGTGGTTTAAAACTTAATGGAAACCATATATTTTTAAGTCATAGGCAAACATCGCAGCTTGAGACAGGGATGAAATGCAGTAGGTGCAATATTAAGGTTAATAGTAGGGGGACTTCAGATATGCCTTCACTGTAGTTAAATGCAAATACAGGTTTGTGGTTTTTTAATGCTGTTTTAATATTCTGGATTATTATCATAAAATAAGCAGAAGAAAATGTGCTTTTCAAATTGTATTCTTTCGTGTTAGCTTCTTAAGTGGAAAACATCCTTAAATGACAACCGCTTTTCTTTTTTTTTACTTTAGTTCAAATTAACAAGAATTCTTTTTTAAAACGTTTCTGTTTTCACAGATGAAGATGATGATGTTGATGGGTCAACACAGGTGTCAGCAAAAGATGTCCAAATTTCAACAGAATCAAGTAAGCAGAATTTTAGTAAGTGGTGAATATCACACATCCCGATCTTTATTCATACAATCTTAACTTGCTTTTCCTTATGAAAAAATATTATATGGCTATTTCTCTAATGCTAGATATCAATTTGAGGTCCAGAGTTTTGGTCCAACGTACTTATCCAGGATCTTACAAATATCATTATTTTCCCCTTGTAGATTAGCATAAGTGACAATCTGTCCATTACCCTGACAAGTAGATAATTTCTCTAAACTTGGTAGTCAAAGGAAGAAAGGATGGTGTTAACAATCCAGAGATAAGCAACCAAATGAAAGGGTGGACAGCATGTCTTTTGAAAGCCTTTTTCATCTAAGATAGGTAGATCCAAATCTTACTGAAGGTACCACATGAAATGTTTATTTTTTTTCATGGGCCTGTTGCAGCAGAAGCGTCTGTATTCCTGTGCATCAGGATTGAGCTGCACTGGTTGCTTTGTAGGCAATTAAATTCTTATGCATGTGGAGTTTTCTGGCATGGGTATTAGCCAAACTCTTACTTTTCAGAAGATGAAGCCAAACACAATTTAAGGTTATCCAACCCTCTATATTCATATTAATAACTAGAAAAACATAATACCTGCTACCTAATATAGCTGCATGGATTGTCATTAAAACTGAAATTTCAAATCAACAAATTTTTTTTTCCCCTTTAAATTTTCTTTTCCTCAAGTTCTTACAAAACTAACAGGTTAATTGTACAAATGCTGTTTGGATTTTTAAAAAATTCCAGCTCCATAAATAATTAACTCAGTTGTTGAAGTGATCTCAAACATGCTCTTACTTCAGTTCTTAAAATTTGAAGCTGGTGTCTTTTAATGACTGTAACTTACGTCTGCCTTATTATGGGAGCAAGCTCTGATTAACTGCATTTTATGTGATAAACTTTCACTTTTTCCAGTGTTTTATGTGACATAAGTGGTGGAATGTCAGGACTTTTCTACTTCACACACTAAAGCTATTTCTCTTACTTATGACTGTCAAAGAAAGCAAATTATGTATCCATAGATTTCAACTGTATTGGTTGTAAATACTAGTACAAGACAGTTCAGCTTTAGACAGCCTTCCCAAAAGAAGGAAAGAAGGTAGGAAAATTGGTCAGACACACGAGTCACAGTGACCTGCAGTCCTGCTTCAGTTGGTGTACTCAGGAACTCATCTGCACATGTGCATGTGGAATAATGGAAATAACATCCACAGAAAGAGTTAGAAATAGCATTTAAGGAGACGACAGGACAGACTGTGCTGATCTGGTGCAGGATGTGGCCAGGCAGACACACAAACCAGCAATCTCTTTACATGTGACCAGTTTCTTCTGTCTCCTTATTTCTCCATTCTCCCATACTTGTGCTTCCCCAAACTGTCTTGATCCCTCCCTTCCCCTGTCTTTAGTCCTACCCTGAGCATCCCCTAACAGCTCTTGTGCAATCCCAAAACGCTCTCCCCATACATCTCGTACAGCCCCACAGCAGGAGTGACCTCCTTATTTGGTGAGGTGTGACCTAGAGAGCTTCTTCTGCAGGTGAGAAGATGACTTCTCACCTGATGGGTGCCACCCCCAGGCCATGAGGCCGATGCCCTTCTGTCAGGGCATGGCTTCTCTGATAACTTCTCTGACATGGCATTTGTTATTTGGGTTCACCTGCTAGCCAATGTGTTTCTGTGTCTCTCTGTGTGTGGGGAGTGATAACCAAGCAAAATAAACATGACAGAGGCATGGTTATAGTGTGCTGGACCTCTTCCACCCATCTCTAGATAATACAATTTGAGTAATATGGATCAAGAGTGAGGTGCTCGTTAGTGTCTTGTGTGTTGACTCGTTACATCTGCCACATCTTTTGGGATGTTACCATACTCTTCCTCAGGAGCATCTGAACTGAATTATGTACTAGAATAATGTAGCTTTTCTTAGTTCCAACTCTCCACATCTTAAGGATGCATATTTTTAAAAACAGTGAGCTAACTGAATGATAATGACTTGTAAAGACATACCTTTCCATACGAAAGAAACCAATAGGAAAGGATGCAAAATCTGTAGATTAATACTGGAAGAAAATTTTAATTTGAGGATTGCATTCCTTTTTGTTTCTTTGCTATTGTAGTGGGCTTGTTGAGTGGAGGGTAAAGTTTGATTTAAATCCTAATTTTGGGAGCTTAGATATGTTAAGTCAACTGTGAAACTTAGCCTACCAAGATACTCAAGCCAAAAGCCTAAATGGCCATAAAAACAAGTCTACACTTTCTGAGATGATAGATTTAACAGACTTACAGAGCAGGTTTGGAAAAAGACTATAAATCCTTGTGCCTGAGAACATGAGCCAACTTCGAAGGACTTGTCTACACAGTGAACAATTAACTGGAGAAGAACTGAATGTTACAGGAGTAGTAGGATAAACATCATGTGGACACTCTTTAGTGTAGTTAGTTGTATTGCCTGGGGAAAAATTTGAGCCTCAAAGTCTGTTCTCATACCAAAATAATTCTTGGTCGTTCTGAGAATATATAACTGATAAAACTGCTCTGTATTGACAGACCTCAGATAGCTGTGGGTGGAGGTAAAGAAGTGGAGTAAAAGTGCTCCTTAAGGGTACCTCTCAGGTGTGTGTGGTTTTTGTCCTTTCTGAGATGCAATGTTGGATTGGATTTTAATCAGCACAGAGTATTCTTGTTTTCCTGGAGACAGAATTTATTGATCTCAGCTAAGATGCAACCACAGATGTGATCTGTCAAGCTTGAGAAGTCAAAGGCAAACTTTTGAAAACCATTCCTGTTATTTCATGGCAATATGAAGACTTAGTGGAAAGAGGAAGGAGGGGAGGAGAATGTGTTTGTCGTAGGTATGAAACAAATTAATTCCAGAGGAGCTATCTCAGTAATTCCTCAAATAAAAAAAAAGAGTATTTAGGAGCTCTTACTTGTGTGTCAGTCTGCAGGGATCTGGCAACATAAAAAGACATTAGATTTTACTGTAAGTGCTTGCCAGGAATCAGTAACAGCTGAGGGTACTTGGCTTGTGTATATTGGGGCCTAGGCAGCATTTATTTATTTTAAAGCTTGTCTGTCATACATAATGTCTGAGGGATGTTGTTTCTCCCTGTCCTCAGTTTCTTTCCCCACAAAAGCTGCTGTTCAGTGGTACTGATGCTCCTTTACACATTGAATCGCTGTACCTGGTGTCATGCTGAAAACATTTCCCTCCCTCAAGAAAGTTGCTTCACCTGCATTTGAACATACTTAGAAAAAGAGAATAATGCTCAGCTGTGTTGAATGAACTAGTGGCTTAAGTGCTGGATGAGGTTGTATATTTCCCTTTTCTTGGCTGAATTGCCTGTAACTACTGGGGAAGGAAAAATGAGCGTTCTGAAAAATAACCTTTTTTCACTTTCTCCATTGTGTGTGTATTCCTTTCATTGTTTTCCCTCAGACTCCTTCATCAGCCTTTTCTGACACTTGATATTGCACACTATTGTTCTCACTTCTCACCAAGTTGTGTTTTGTGCTCTTCCTCAGCCTGTCTCTCCAAATTCCTCTCCTTCCCCAGGCACAATGTTTACTCACCAGTGTTGCTGCCTCTTTTTCTTGTTCCCTTTCAAGCCTACCTGTCCCTTTCTTGTTTCCTGAATCAATTACCCACTCATCCTTAATGTCTCCTACCAGCTGGTAGCCAAAACATTGGCTGCCTTAGATGTCTATTTCAGGGAAAGCAAGCACATCTTCTTAACAACCTCTTAAAAGTGTAAAAGAGATTTTATGGAAAATGGCTTAAAGAAGAAAGATAGAAAAAAAAATCTTCCTGTAGTTCTGTAGTGTCATTGCCAAAGGGTTATGGAGAGATAATTGCAAATGTTATTAGCTAGTGTTACTTTATTCACTGCCTTAAGGGTTCTTGTGACAAGGCATATCAGATTAAAAATTTAACAGTAGATTAAGATTCAGAATGACATGGAGAGCCATGCTTTTTGGATTGTTTCTGTGATTATACAGTCTCTTTGCTTTAACATCCTGCTAGTCATGATGCTCGGGTGTAGTTTCTCCATAGCAGCCTACTGGAACTTGTACAGACACATTGCAGGAGGTGTACTGAGGGCTCAGCAGAGTTCTGGCCACGTGTGTGTGCAACTCATTTGTCAGACAGGGATGTGTGAAGAGCAAGGTTCATGGCCCTGACCTGGGAGTCTCTGCTCAGCACTCATGGGCTGCGTGTGAACTGTCTGATTCAGCATGTGCCTGTCTTCCACCAGACAGCCATCAAAAGAAAACTCCTTCTGAAGGAGGTTTTAGGGGGATCTGTCTGAGGAGAGAAATGGGCACTGTGGTGCTGCCAGTGAACATACTTTTCACAGCATGTCCTTCCACAGCCAATTAGTTGCCAGGCAGTGCTCTGCTCAGGTAGCTGTTCACCTGCTGAGTAAGGGAGATAAAATGTTCTCACATTAAATAGACCCAAGTCTAGTGCTTGCTTCTGTCTTGTACCATACTTGCCATCAGTGTGGAGGAGATAGTCATTGTAATTCCGCAAGCAGGAGCAAACTGTTGTCAGGAAGAATCAAAGACAGCATGTGTGGATTTTATTTCTAAAGATATTTCTGAAAATGTTCAGCCATTATAAAAGGAGTCATTGTACTCTGTTAAAACCACTTACTGATAACTAAGCATGTCACATGTTTCTCTGAAACATGATTTGAATGGATTTGGAGGCCTAGAGCTAGAGGGAGAAGTATGTGAAACCAGATCAAGTGGTGATACGTACAGCAGATGCTTGGAGAAGTTCTGAAAACCAACCTGGAGAAGGGTGACAAGGTGGTTACTAGTGTGAGAGGATGGCTATTAACACAGCTTTGTGCTTTGAGACTGTCTTGGAACTAGAGGAATTTGAGCTGCTAAGGAAAATGACTTCAGAGAAGTGACACACCTGCAAATGGCATTCCTGAAAGAGAAACTGATGGGGAAAGGAGGACTCTGGGTTTCTAAAAGGCTTTCTTCAAGACCAGTAGAAGAAAGTATACACAGTTCTTACCTTCCTTGTTGCTGCTTTGTAGATTGTGAGTGATAATACTGAAATAAACCAAAATTAGCCAGTCCACACTCCTGTAATTTGAAGTAGCAGTGTCTACATAAGGAAAGCAGAAGTTTTGTTTGGAAGAATGGTTCTTGGAGAAAGTGTTGCTAGAATTAAGTCTTTTAAGAGTAAATTCAGCAATATGTTTGATGTAGGCCTCTAGCTTTCTTCAGTGGCAAAAACATCCAGGACTACGTCATTTTCCTATCTCAGTCACAAGTCACACATAAGTCTTTTCAGAAGCTACATCCTGTCTGTGGGGATTTGGAAGTCAAAGGACATGAATTTTTGACTCATCAAATGCTGTTTATCCTTTTCCCAAGAAAACTTGGTATCTTAGCTTCCAAAATAAAATTCCATAGTTGGGTAAATTATGCCTGGAGCTGACCTTTCTGTAGTTGTTTTCCTCTTGAATAGCATGAGCATGAAGAACAGACAGGTTTTATTTCCACTCAGTATCCCATGATAAGAAAAAAAGTATTGTGTTTTTTAGGAGAAACTCCTGATCTGTGTCGTTTGATCCAACAGGAAAACATACTGACTCTTCACTGCCGAACGTCTTTATTACAAAACAGGCAGTAATTCCTTTAAATACCAAAATTCGTTACATCCATCTGTTGTATGTTAGCAAGTTTTTTTTTTTTTTATACTAAGCAGTGGCATGTAGACGTCACTTCTATAACTGGACCATTTTCTAATATTTAAGCATTGGATCAGGAGAGAGTAAGAGCTTTATCTAACTTTAAAAGTTATTGTAGTTGAGCTTCTTTCCAAGGTTAGTTAGACAGATTGGACTAGCATAAGACACTCCTTAATTTTCATGTGGTGGATGTACACTTGAATTAGTCAAGAAGTGTTTTTCTGGATGACTGGTTGTGGTCAAATAAGTAGCTGTTTGGTTTTTTGGTATGTGTCCCCAGAAGCTCATGTGCAAGAAAACCATTTTCATCAGGTTGCAGTAAAAGTAACCCCCATGAGGAGGACAGTGACAAAGTTAAATGTGATTTTTCACTCATAAATTGAATTTGTTTTGTATGATGAGTACCCAGATTGCCTTAAGGAAGGCAGGACTGAGAATACTGTGTATTTAGCTAAGGAACATTCTTGATCTCAGGACATTACTTCTGGTCTGTAGACCTAAAGCCCTCCTTGCAAACCAGTTTATTTTAAGAGCCAAGTCAACTTTTTGAAACACTTGACTGATATGAAGAAGTGGAGAGCTCATAAAAATATCCAATTAAAATTGTTAGAGATTTTCTCAGGCCAGCTAGTACCTAACAAGAGCAGACTACAAACGCAGCTGTAATGAAAACAAGTCCTAAAACTTGGATGAATGTTTTTATTCTCAGATGGTTGTCTACCCTTTGGATTGCTAGAGGAAACAGTAGACATTTTGATAATGTTACAAAAGTTCATGCTCAGAACATTGGCTGTGCTGTCAGTAACCAGTGCTTGCTGTTTTTTTCTCAAGTTGTGTTAGCCATAAGGGAGGTCACCCAGAACACATTGTGTGTTTTGGTTAAAATCTGTCTATGCTGAAGTCACCACGGAGATCACTTTGACATAAATCTGTTTCTAAAAGAATTTTAATTTTTCTAACATTAACCCAGCAGGATTTAAATGAATAGATTATTTTCTGATATGTGCTATAGTCTCAATGCAATGGCAGTAGACTTTCATTAATACCTTAGAAGTGAGAGTTGATGATATTTAAATGTCTTGTGTCCTCTGCAAACATGCTGAGGATGTACTCTGTCCCGTCATTTAGGTTATCACTGAAGAATCTAAACAATATTTGCCCCAGTATTGACTTGCAAGAGCACTCCAGTGGTGACTGGCCTACAAATGGAACACAGCAGTACAGCCAGTTTTCAGTCCACCTCTCCATTTACCTCGTCTGTACTTGATCCATTTGTCCACGAGCCTGTTAAGGGAGATACTGTCAAAAGCCTTTCTAAACTAAATAAAAGCAATAACCAATGTTCTTCCCTTATCCACGCAACCAGGTCCCTCATCATAGAAAGCTACCAAGTTGGTGAAGTGTGATTTCCTTTCATAGGTCTGTGGTGACTATTTAAACTCCTTAGTATGTTTATTAAATTATTCCCAGGCTTAGTTGCTCAATCACTTTCCCAGAGATCGAGGCCAGGCTGATCAGCCTGCAGTTCCTCAGATCTGCCTTCCCACCCTTCCTCAATTCCTGCTTTCTTCCAGTCCCCAGGAACCTCCTACAAACCCCCATGACCCTTCCAAGATAAACCAGAGTGGTTTTGCAGCGCCATCAGCCAGACCCCTCCAGACTCTTGGGTGCATTGCAACAGACCCATGGACTTGTGCATGTCCAGATTGTTAAATGTTCCCTAGCCTGAGCCTGCCCCACTGTGGGCAAGTCTTCTTTGCCCTGCACTTTCCCACTGGCCTCAGGAGCTGATGGCTGGTAGAAACCTCTCCCATTGCCCTTCATGTCCCTTGCCAGAATTAGCTGCCTATGGGCTTCGGCTTTCCTAATCCCACCCCTGCATGTTTGGACAGTGTCTTTATGTTTCTTGCACCTCAGCCTGTTCTGCCTCTGCATCTTGTGTGCCTGCTTTTAATAGTAGAGTCAGGTGCTCCTTGTCCATTCTTTGTGCCTCCTGCAACCTTTCTTTTAAAACAGTCAATTAAGAGAGAAACTTTGCCATACAGTGAACTGTACCAGACTGAATCTTAACTCATCTCTGTGAAAGGTGAACCTGAAATCCTGAACTGTCTGTGAACAGTCTGAACTAAAATCCTGAGATGTCTCTGCAACAACCTGTGGTCAGTAGTTGGAGCATGGTTTTGATAAGGCTTTAGTGAAATGAAACATAGCAAAGGGTTGTAGTTCATCATATGTTCTATGTTCTTTGAGTGTTTCTGTTGTTCCTGTGCTTTCTCCTGTTATCTGTGCAGTTAACCACCTATTCTGAGGACTTTCATTTGGAAGGATGCTCTCAGAATGGGCAGTGCTGTGGGAGCTGCTCTGGAGGTGATGGTGCACTGTCTCGGTTTTCCGGTTGTTGAACTCAGCAATAATAAATGCAGTCTTGAATGGTGAAGGTGTAGAAGTGATAACATAAGCCATATAGTTATATATATACAGAGTATATAGACACAGCTATATTAAAAACCAGGATAAAACTATTGATTACTTGAAATACTTTTCCCTCTTTCTTCTGCAAATGTACCCCTGTTTTTAATGAATGGTTACAAAACAAAAATGAAAGGATTGAACCTGAAAGCTTGTGATGAAGAAACAGTTCAGTGAGTGAAAAGCAGGTTTTCAATAGTTCTGTTATGCACTTCATGTTAAGGTAGATTTAAGATTTGAGGGGTGTGTTATTGAAATACAATAATTGTTTTCATTCAGGTAAACAAACATTAAAGATATTTGATGGGAATGATGCAGTGAAACGCAACCAATTTCGAGTGATTTCAGTTCCAAGGATTGCAAAAAATGAAGAAGTTGTGGTAAGATACCCCGTGAAGGTCAATATTCAGAGGGATAAAGGGGCATATGATTGTATATTACAACAGTTTTACAAATCTAGTTCGATTACAACAAAATCTGTAAGTAGGCTATAATACAATGTAATTTGACTTCTTCATGTGATGCTTTGACTTCTGAGCATCTGGAGAAGGGGTGACCTACAAACCTGTAGCATATCAGGCACCATAGCATATCACACGTTAAGCAGTCATTCTTCCCTGTGTGACACTGAAATCTGATTTTACTGGTGTGAGCAATGCTGGATAATCAGCTCCTTGGATCTTGCTCCTCTTTTATAGTATTTAGTGGTTTGACATTTATCCTGGACAGCCACGACTACTGCACTTCAATTAAGTGCAGTGAAGTCTTCGATGAAGATTGAAGCATGCTGTAGTTATCTCAACTCCTTGGCTGTGAAAGTAATGAATTATCAGTCACATACTGGCCATCCCCTGGCTTTTCCACTGCTCCATCTGGGGTGGAAATGTGACTCAGTACAGATCTTAATTTATTGGGCTGGGCAGAGACCCCAGGCTGTGCAGAAATGAAGCCCAGAGCAGGTATGGGGTAGTGCACAGTAGAATTGAGCATAGCAAGGAGTCAAAGTCATAAAGGACTTGGCACAAGAGTCTGGAGAATCTATTATATCATAATTTTGACAATTTAAACCTAGAACTCATTAAGATTTTTATCTTGAGATTGTGCACAAAATCAACAGGAGTCTTGAAAATGGTTTGCAATGTTCTTCCTGTCAAAGATCTTCAAGGAAATTAGTGTGCAGTGCTGAAACCACTTTTATTTAAGAGTGCTACTTGCCTTTTAAGCATACATTACCAGGCTGCAGCTTATAAAACCAAGGCAGATTAATAGCACTTTCCTTAAGGGACTTACTGGGCTGTGCTCGCTGCAGCGTCTGTCTTAGCAGAGGAGCTACAGGCATGGGCCAGTCATGGATGTACTATTCCTCTGGCTGCTTGTAACTTCAGAGGACAGCCCTTATCTTTACTTTTTATAGGCGTGTGGGCTCAGGGCAGCTTCGTGGCTTAGAAGCTCACTAATATTCAGCATCCACTTAGTGTAAAAAGATTGAATATGCAGAGAGGGGCACAGTCAAGTGTGATTTACTGTTTTGCTTGTGGACTAAATTTTGCATGCATTGAGTGTAGCTTTATTGGTTCCAAATTTTTACATTTGCTCTATGGAGTTGGGATTATTATCACTTGACAAAAATGTCGTGTTCAAATCCATTGATGGATCAAGTTTTCTTATTATATCGTCCGCTAAAATTTGTTTCCAAAACGTCACTCTTTTTTTTTATGTCATTGCTATTTATCTGCTGCTCTGTGCTTAAAACTTTTTAAAGGTTAGTTCCATAAGTAAGAAATTTATAGATGTCTATGGCTCTGCTGGCATTAACGGTGTCTTTTCAGGAAAATGTTAATTTATCTTGGTGTGTTGTAGGAGGCTGCTTTGAGGGCATACTACATAAATGATGACCAGCAGGAGTATGAGCTTCAGACCTTTACGCAGCAGGCACTGCTGTCTGATGATGTTATCAACAGGAACGATGCTGCAGAGGACAGCAACTTGGGCTCAGTATTCAGAGAATCTGTTCCTGAAGCTTGGATCATCAGGGCCAAACCAAAAGACGAGGAAGTGATCAGAATTTATCCTGCCTGGCTGAAGTGAGTGTTTTCTTCCTATGTCACAGGGTTACCCTGCTTGGCTACGTTTGTCCTCTGTTCTCTAGCCCGATGTGTTTTCAGTTATGGAAGTTGCACAGCTATAACAAGAGCATGTAGTTTCTTCTTCTGTATTTCAGGATCCTTCTGTTTATTCTTCTGGATGAATAATATATATCTTACTCATTTCCGTGCCTGGAAACGTGCTCGTGGGTTTCTTTACATGCAGGGAACATACTGCAAAACTCATGCAGTTCTGTTACTGTGAGTTTGGCCAAGAAGATGCAATTTTAGATTAACTGCATCTGTAAAAAAAATGATGACATGCACATGTCACTTGAAAGCTGGATGGCTTTTTGGAGAAAATATTGAGTAGGAAGAATTCAGTGTAACTTCTCATGTGAGAATAGGAGAAAAATTTTAAAAATCTGTTCCATTTGCCACTAAGAAAATACACATTTTCAATGTCTTCAGCCATGCAAGTGAGACTGACTGGTGACCATTTATTAAGAGCAGTGGGATAAAATTTAAATATTTCTTAATTTTACTAATGCAACTATATTGCTGAATTTTATGAAAGACTTGCAGGTAATTCTGTATGTAGAAAGAAACTAATCTGTAGTACTACAATTGCAATAACCAGTTCCTTGAGGTGAAAGTCTTGGCTGTGTGGCTAATACTTCATGTGCCATGGGCCTCAGTGAACAACTTTCTTCAGCTGATGCAAATTCCTGCCTGCCCCCACAGAAAATTTGCTGCTTAGGTTAAAAAAGGTACACATGGGATAAAGTCAAACAACTGTCCTAAAATAACTATTTCTTTTCTCTTTAGGGTGGGAATGGCATATGTTTCTCTACGAGTAAATAAGGATAGCACTACTCAGACTGTGATCAAAGAAGTGCTTCCATTACTTGGAAGGCAGGTAAACAAAAGGTTCTAAGCATGTCCATATACCACCTTGGTGACCCTGAAGTGGTGTGTATGTTTTTGTCTGTAGAAAAATTACAGTCAGTCCACTCACAGTTAATGTGAATGTTGGTAATGTTTGGTAGACGATCTCTTGTGACTAGTATGATGCTCAAAACTTCCTGCAATGTAGATGGTAGACCTGGTTGCTCTGTACTGGAGTCTTTCTAGGTCAAGCAGATTTAATGGTGTGAACACAGTGATTCTTGGCATGCAGGAATCATCTGGTTGTTTATGTCTTGATATATTTAAAATACAGTTCTGTGTAACTGCACTGCTAACCTTACCTTGTTGGGAAACTGGTGATCCCTGTTAGGATGTCCTTGCTTGCCTCCAGCTTCTTTGCACTGCTCTGCAAAGGCAATTGTAGAAATCATAAAATATCTAAAGTTCAAACGGACCCATAAGGATCATTGAGTCCAATGCCCTGCTCCTTGTGAGACCACTTAAAACTAAAACATACCACTAAGAATGTCATCCAGATGCTTCTTGGATTCTGGTTCACTTTTCTGAGGAGCCTGTTCTAGTGAAGATCCTTTTCCTAATATACAGTCTGAACTTAATAGATGCAGTTTCATTCCCTGCGATCATGTCCTATCACCGATGACCAGAGAGAGGTGATCAGTACCTCCCCCTTCACTGCCCCCTTGAGCAAGTCTCGAGCAAGTTCACAGTTGGGTGGGAGTTCATTATCCCCCCAGTCAGGATCCTCCAGCACAGGGTGCCTGAGGTCCTGGGGCCATCACTGGTGTTGAAGAGAGAGGTAAAGGCGGCACTGCGTGTCTCTGCTTTGTCTATGTCTCTATTTGTGAGGTGGCCAACCTTGTCAAGCAACAGACCAATGTTATGTCTGATTCTTCTTTTGTTATTAACATATTTTTAAAAGCCTTTTTTGTTGTACTTCACTGTGCTGGTCAGCTGGAGCTCTAATTGAGCTTCAGCCGCATGAATTTTCTCCCTGTAGTGGCAAACAGCATCTCTCTATCTCTCAAGGACTACAAGGAAGAACTCGAGGCTGAATAGCACCCATGTTCTTTACCATCTGCATTCCCTCACACCTCACTGGAAATGATTAGATATGTCTTGTAATCTTGTAGGTGCCCCTGTTTTCTGTGGAAGGTGGTCTCTTTTCAGTCTGCCTGGCTTTCTTACGGTTGGTGCCGAGACAGCATGACTTCTGGGAAGCATGTTAGAATTTGCAAGTGTGCCAAGGCAATGGCAGTCTCAGTCAGACACACAGATGTGGAGGCACGAAGCTATAGAGTGCGTGTTTCGTTCAGCAGTTGAGGCTTGTGAGCAGATCAGCATGCTTCTGCTGCCCCAGGGAACAGCCATGCTCACAGAGGGCAACCACTGCCTCTTCTGGTTATTTACAGGGTAGGCAGGAGCATGCATTTGGCTACCTATCTGCAGTAGGTGATCACTGTAATCTCTGTCTAGCTGTACACAGCTCTGTAGTGCATGCATGCAGCTGGTTTTGTGCCATAGGATGGTTCTAGGATTTTATTTCAGTCCTTTTCCTCAAGTGCTATGCACCTTTTAACAAAACTTGAAAAATCTTAATTCATCTGAAAAAAAGCAACTCGAACAGGATAGTCAGGTACTTTTGGAAAGATCTTCACACCTCTGTATATGGGAAGCTAGTTTTATGTTGTAAGAGACTTAATTCCTTGGCTCAATTGAAATTTCTCTGATATTAGTAGATTTTTGAATGGTTTTCTCCTTTTTCTGTATGACGATGCACATACAGGAAGTCTCTTTTTAATTTCCAGAATTTGCTGAAAATCCTCTCCAAGTCACTCTCATCAAATTCCAAGCAAATCAAATTCAGGCAGTCGAGGCTTTTAACCCTCCTGTTCATGGCATGTAAAGCAAGATCATTTGTCCTCTGAAACTCAAGGCCAAAAATTAAGAGACTTCCTCAACCTCGAGTGTCATGTTTTCATGTGACAGTAATCTTAGTAAATGATTCAGATCTTGGCCTTACCAGCTTTTCTTCTCCATCTGTGAAGGTCCTGGGTGGTCCCTAGCAATATAGTTTGGAGAAGGGACTGTGGCACCTGTGAAGAGGGTTTCATTCCATCAGTGCTGGTGGAGTTCCCCAGGAGATGGGGATCAGATGGCTTCCTTTTGCCAAGACTAGTTCCTGGGCCATTTTCTGGAAGAGCAGGTTCCTTCCCAGTCCTGCACACATCCTCTGGAAGGAACTTCTGGAAATACCCTAATTGAGCTGCTGGTCACCAAAGAGGTGCAGAGTTAACCATGCCTTACAGGTGCCCCTTCACCATGGGGCTGTGAGGATGCTGATGTCGTTAGGGGCATGGGAGCCAGACACCACGTGTGGGAGGATGAGTGTGTAAAATAAAGATTATTCCTGGCTTGGGAGATGTGGATCAGGGGAAGAACATTGTGGCTGATTCAAAAATGTTTAATTTCCCATCCTCTGTGTGTGCAGTGTAACATTCATGTAAACCATCTGGCAAAATTTTGGTCAGGAAATACATTTGCATGTTGCATCTTTTGGCAGACGGAGTCCCTCCAGAATTTCAAACTGATAGAAGTGCTCATGGGCAGTAAGCAAGGTAAGCGAAGGCACATTGGCGAAAGGCACATCTGGAACTGATCTTCTAGCTTTCCCCTCCCCCTTTTCAACACAGTCACAGGTAATTTTTTGCAGTAAATGCCTTCACAAATGAAACTTCACCATCATGTTGAAATACTTAGTCAGAGACAATGTTGGTTCTTTTCACTCGTGTGCCTCCTGTGGGAGTACAGTTCCCTTCTCTTTCGTCATTCGCACATGAAGGTTTGTTAGTGGTTTCTGGTGGGTATTGACGCTTTGGCAAAGAGCCCTGTTTTGGGGAGCTGCATCTAACTGACATAATTTTAACTAGTGAAGATTAATTGTAAAGTTCATTTGGCTCCCTGTTTCCCCCTGACACTGCCCTGCAAAAAGAGCAACTTCAAGTTCTGAGGTAGTCAGTCCAGGGAGCACGTGTGTGCGTTAGGAAGTGCATAGCCTGGCATTGCTCAGGAGGTCTGTGATCCTGCAGCAGCCCAGCTGGTGTTCTCCAGGTTCACATCCCTCTGTGCTTCCTTATTTGTAAGGCTGTGTGCAGAGATAAATAAAACCACTGAAGTAGTCTGATGATGTCCTGGCCGCACCCAGGGCCAGAGTAAATATATTTTTAGTTCAAACACTAGTCTGATACTTTCCTGTCTTTGTGAGCATTATTTGTAAGTTCTTTGATAAGGTCGTTGCAGCCTTGTGAACGTCTCACCTTGGCTGGTTTGTGGTGCTCTGTTTTAAAGCATCATTTACAACCTCTCTTTAGCTGGAAGTTGTTACAGTTGTTTTATTATTTTAATAAAATACAGAAGTTGGTTATTACTGTAGTTTTCAGGGAATGTGGTTTTAAAGTATTCTGTCCAATAGCTTGTTATCAAGTCACCACTTGTCTTTTGAGGGGTTTCGAGCTGTTTCTGCCTTCTTTTTAAAGGAGGGTAGTGTTTAAGAACTGTGAACAAAACCAAGACTATTGAAAGCACCTAGATGTTTTTTTTTGTGTTGAACAATGAGTAGTTCAGGTCTGTGTCGTTGTCAGTGTTAGTCGTATGCAGAGTTGTGAATTTTCCCCAAAATTTTCTGTGTTGTTTTTGTTCAATTGAGCCTGATATTAACAACTTACAGCACTTTCAAACATGTTCTTGCTGTTCCTAGTTCAGCGCATGGTTTTGGATGACCAGGAACAGATTCTTAACAGACTCAAGGATATAAGAAAGGTAAATCTGACACAGAAAACGTTATCCTTTGTTACAGAAAATAGGGAGTCCCCTTCCTTAGAAAAAGGTACGTAATTGGTTACCCTCCCAGCTGGCTCCTCTGTAGAGAAGCTAAGTGCTTGAGCTGGAGTTTGTTTCTGTTTGTTGTATTCTCTTGACATAGAGGACTTTATTGCTAAGGTCAGAACTGTTTGGGATTTTGATTCATGATACCTTTTTGCCAAATGTTATGTTTATTTTTCTTTATTTTGTTAGACTTCAATACGTCAGATGAATCAAACACGATTTTACATTGTGGAAAACAGTAAATCCACTGTACGAGTAAATCTATTTGTTGGTGGCCTTCCACCTCAGCTTTCCTCTGAAGAATACACAAATATTCTCAAGGATGAACTAGCTATCAAAAGTAAGTAAACGTGCATTTTGAGGTATACTCACTTTTATAGAAGAAAATGTAGTAGCATCTATTGCTCCTTATTACTATTCTTTTTTTCTTAACATTTTCTGACCTGGTTTGTAAAATCAGTCTGCCTTGTACTCTCACAGAGGGCTTTTTTTATTCATTTTAACCTGTTCATGGTTGCATGAGAGATGTGACAGCTCGTTTTTCACCAAATTGCTATTATATTACTTGAGTTATGACTGTGCCCTTTTTTAAAATTTATTTTTGTGGAAAAGCCTCACTTTTTTAGAAGTGAACTGGACATACCTTGCGCCATTCAAATTATGGCAGTGCAGTTTAATTCCCTGTGCGTGACTGTTCCTCGCCTTTATTAACCTGACATGTTTTGTGTGGGCTGTCCTCCGTGTTGTTCATGAGCTCAGTGCCTTGTCACAGGGAAGTATGAGCAGTGTGTGTGCACACACATGGGCAAGCACTCAGGGAACAGAATTTTTCTTTTTCAAAGAAGTGTAATTGATTTTTTATAATACTCTTTTAACAAACGTTTTCTATAAACAGTGTCAGGAATGGATCATACTTTTTTTTTCAGGAAACCAAGCATTTTTCCCAATCTTTTATGTAACCTCAAGAGGAATTAAACTTTAAATGCCAGAAAGAATTCATAGTCACCTTTTATGAAAATCAGTTTAGCTTTTCTAACTTGCAAAGTAAACTTAGGAGAGGGAAAGTGTTAGCTGGAGGCTCTCCCTGTATTTGTATAACTTTTAATATTTATTTATATTATATTTATGTAACTTTAAAAAATATTTTAAATATTTACTCTAAATGTACCCAAGGTTTTATGTGTTTATATTTTTACCCTTTGCAGCAAATGTAGTATCTGTGAGTCATGTTTATCAAGCACAAGGTAAGCATTGAGATTTTTTAGTCTGGCAAACAATGTCTATTTTCAAAACTGCCTGATGCTAGAGGCTCTAAGCTCAGACTATGTTAGTCTTACTGCATATGCAAATACCCTATCAGATAAAATGTAACACATATTTATGAGCAGCAGTAGATCAATGTTACCTTATTAAAAAACAAAAAAAAATGAAAAGGTTGACTTTTTTAAAGGTTGGCCTCATGTACCAGAAAGTGGTAATATTTCATCATAAAAATGAGTTTAGAGGTTGAACCACTGAACTGTTAAAAACCCTTCAAGTATTCTCTCTTTTGTTTGACTTCTAAAATACTAATATTTGATACTGCTGTTGAACTTGATGGGGTTGTTTCACAGTCACTGTTTCTTAGGGCAGTGTTAAGTTGGGGTTCAGTGGCTGGAAGTCTGTAGAAAATCAGTACACTCGTCTCTGCCTTCATAGTTTGAGCTGTTGCCTTGCTTTTGCTGTACAAATTTTATTTCAGCAAGGTCAGAGAAGCCATGAGGCTCCCGAGAGCTGGAGCAGCAGTGGCTCTGTGCAGCTTTAGTGCAGTGGTCAGGTGGAGATCTGCATTTGGTAAAACTTAAAAGCATGGGACTCATCTTTTGTACATTTAGGTGTCCATAATGGAGATGCTTTACATCCTTTGGCAAGCTTAACTTTCATGGGACTGCCAAATGAGTCCTTCTGCAGCGTGGTTTTGAGGACTGATGTGTGCTTCCTTTGTGTATCTGCGGTCTCCACATGGCTGGTTAATGCTGACTTTTCACAGGGAAAACCATAAAGCTTTTGGATGTGCCTTCTCCTGTTCGTATTTGTCAATGGAGAAGAGCTGGTTTTAGGATCACCTTCTCATGTCACAGCTTCATTTAACCAAGTTTACCTCCCTGTGTTTTTTAGATGCTTCTGCTTGTATGTGATTTTTATTTTTCACTTTCTGAGTATTTTTGTGTTTCTGATAACTTCCTGACTCTCACTACGGGTTGCAGCCAGGCTGTGTTACCAGCTTACATCTCATATGCTGTCCGTTATGCACTTTGATCTCGTCCTGCCCTGTTGTCCACCTCACTAAGTGTCTAACTTTCATTTTCTGTTATTTTTCCCTTTTGTCTTACCTTCTTACCCAGCTTTTCCATAAAGCCAGCATAAAGATCTTAAATCGATTCTCAAACCAAATCTTTGCTTGTGGTAATTCATACCGAGATATTCTTACAATAAAGGGAATTGCTGGACTTTTGGGATACAAAATGAAAGCTGATACCTTTGTCATTTCACATGATGAGAACAGCCTGTTAGTTACGATAAAGAGTATGGAATTAGGCTGTACTTCTGAAGCCTGATGGAAGTCTTGAAATATGCATCAGTTCTGTGCTGTAGTTCTTGTCCTCAAGCTGTTCTGCTTTAACAAATATTTTGAGTGTGCTTAGGGGTACAGAGAAAGGCTTTAAAGACAAAACAGCCCAATTCACTGATAACCAACAACTGCAAGTGATGCTGAGTAACTTCCACTGAATAATGTTCTGAGCAAAGTGGGTAAACTTCTGCTGTGATACGGTGATACTGATTTCCTAATAGTAATAAAAAATACAAAAATTGGTTCTGATGTCTCTTTACAGGTGCTGTTGTACTTGAAATTTCATGTTTTTCTGAAGCTGAAAGAATATACATGCTAGTTAAAGACACAACTGTCAATGACAAGCCTCTGAATGCCGTGGTGATTCCTGAAGTTGTGGTAAGAAATGGATTTGGATTTGAATTTGAAATATGTCTTTAAATGTGAAACAACTGCCTTAAGACTTTTTTTCTGCTGGAAGTAAATGAAAATACATTTTATTCAAAGGAGTTATTATCTATGTGTGTATATATGTATACACACTATAAATTATGTATAAACTATATATATATTTATTAAACTATCAAACTTATTTGTTAAACTGTTTAACTGTTTATAAACTATATATCTTCATATATATATAAACTATACTTTTTCCCCTCTATTTCTTTCAATGATCAAAGTGTTAGGGTTTTAGTTTTAGCTGGTGTGTCTTAATGCTTACAACTACTTTGTTTTGGTGACTAAATGAGTTTCCTTGCTAACCATGAAGTAAAGTACTACTACTAATCTTCCCATTTGCAGAATCTTCATTTCCCCTATTCTGTCACAGAGGGATTTTGACCTTGTTTAAATGCTTCATTGTGGATTTTAGAGGGAAGCAGTCTTTTGGAAGATTTAGTGCAAGAGTCCTTTCACAAATTCATTGATTATTATTAGAATTTATGGTTACAAATAGCTTTTATATGAGTCAGTTGGTTTATATCAGGTTTCACGTTAACAAAGCAGATTCAGGGTGAAAAGAAGGAAATGGTTCACTGAGCCAAGTGATTTTTAACCAGCATGATGTAGGTTCTGTCCAGAAGAGAGTGTAGCTGTGTTACTTCCTGTTTATCTTGCAGTTACTCTCTTTCTGGAGTTGCAGTAAGGCAAGTGAAGTGAGGGTGTTCTTTGACTTTTTAGAAATTCACAGAAGGCTGAAAACTTAAAAAGAATACATAATTAGTGGGAACTGTGAAACAGCTTTAGATGAGAAGGTCTTGAGTTCAGTAGCCATAGCTGCATACTTACATGCCTTCTCTCACCGTTCAGAGGCCTATGCCTGTCAGTTTTCTGAAGGCAAAGTTTTTTTTTGTACAAGCAGATACTAGTGGCAGTGCTTACATGAAACTGGAAAAATGAAAAGCTACCGCCCCGCCTCCAAAAATGGTGAGAACCTTGTTCTTATACATGCATAGGCATTATGTTTTGTGAGACTGTTAGAAACCAAGGTCCTTCCTTGTCCAAACTAGATTTCAGGGTTTCTGCTACCAGAAACAGAAGGCAGCATGAAGATGGTGCTGCTTCTGGATGCTTGTTTTCATTGGGTTTTAGACAAATGCATTATAAGCCTAGGTTTGGTGCATGGTGTGTGAAGCTGAACTCTGTTGATGATGTGTGTCTGTTTCTCTGATATTAGGTGTGCTTGAAGTGAGCTTCTTGATGCCAGGAAAGTACCAATAGCATTATCTGTTATCTGATGCAAGATATTTTTTAGAAACTCCAGTTCATGGGACTGCTAGGGATGAATTTCTAATATATAAGAGTGAGAGACGGGCTATACATATGCATATACATTTTATTTCCATTTCAGCACGTATTGTTTATATTTGCCCACCTCACTGAAATGAGTCAAGAGTTAATAATATTTCAAGTGTTGTTCATATGTGCTTGGGCCACCCAGCTAATTCCCCAGGGTAAACTAATGAGTGATTGTTGACTCTCCTTTGGGTAGCAATTGGACTGGATGACCTCCTGAGGTACTTTACAACCTAGATCATCCTTTTATCCTATGATATTATTAGCCTTTGTTTATACATGTGACCATTTAAATACAGCACCAGGAAATAATTACACAGAAACTGAGCATAGTATTAAATTTATGCTGTGTCTGACATTCTTCTTGTGGATGAAATACACATTGGGAAAGAAATTGGGAATGAAGGGCTGATGTTTAGTCTCAGAAGAAGAATGGGTGGTAAAACAAAGACCACAATGTTTTGGTTAATGAATGATTTTTCCAAATTGGAACTTAAATCAATCAAACAAACAAACAAAACCACGAAAGCAACCCTTCTTAAAAGTTGATAAAAGCACAGAAGTAAATTGGTGGTTAGCAGGTTGCTAGTCCTCCATTTTCCTGAGGTGAGATTCATTTACTCTGTGTCTGATCCAGCTTCTGAGGGGGAGGCCCATTTGTAGTCTGGCATGATCAGGTCTGCCAGAAGCAATTCATCCTCCTGTTATGATTACTGAAAAGTTTGAATGCAGAATCAGTTTGCACTAACTTTTTATTAGAAATTCAAGCAATTAGTGTGATCAGATGTGTTGATCTGTTCTGCTGTTTCATGATTTTGCACCTTTTGAGAATGTAATCAAACACTTCTTCATTTCACAATATTAAAATAAATGAAAACACTGTTTTTGTTGGAGTGTGAAAAAAATACAGTATCTTACAAAGCCGTTGAGCTGCTGTGTGTAAAGACCTGCAGGGCAGTTGGTGTCACTCTTTGATAGATTCTCAAGGTGAAAGACATTGCAGGGCTGAATCTATGAATCCATGAAAGCTAATTTACTAGAAGTCTTTTTGCAGCACTGGCAAACAAGAAGATCAGCAGAGAGTTGTACGAGGCCAATATCAGCACAATGGTGACAAGTTTTTGTGGCTTTGTCACTAATACCAATTAACTAGTGGAGTGCCCTCTGAGGTACTGCATTTAGGTTCATTAAGAGTAGTAGAAAAAGATGAGGGAGCTTCCTAAACGGGTGATACTTTCCATTTTATTCATTCCACTAATTTCTCACACAAATGCATCCAACCTAAAAACGTGATAGTTTAATGACCCCATTAGCCAAAACACCACGAAAAGTTACCTTCTATACTTCTTCCACTGGTGCAGTTCCACAAAAAAAGAAGTGAAGAAAAGGCTCGAGCTCCTGCTGTGTTGGCCCAGCTGCTGCTCCAGTTGCATTGAGACATCTTGCACACCATTCCTCATCAGATGAAAGGACTCCTTTCTGGCCAGGGTGGACACAGTTTGTGCTTGGGGTGTTGTGAGTCCTTGCATATGGGAGATGCTGCAGACAGCCCACTTGCAAATGTTGTGTTTTAGTTGTCACTTAGAGATATCTGCAGTTCCTGGAGAAAGCCCACCATGCTGGAAGGTGTGCCATGGTTGTGCTGGCAGGTGTGTGGCACAGGATGTCTTGTTCTTCTTCATCGTGAGATGTGATCACACAGTACACTTAACAGAGGGGGGATTAGCATGGATAATAAATACCTTGCCCCACCCTGAAGCCACACTGTGCTAATCTTGACAAACTAAGCAATTTGCAGTGACTGTCAGAGTGCCTAAATCACACGGCCTCCTTCAGCTGTCTCTAAGAAACAAGCAATAAATTCCCTTCTGAACACAAGCCAACACAAAACCCCTCTGCAGATTCCACTCCTCAAGTAGAGCACTGAAGCCAGGGCTGAAGGGGGAGGGGAGTCCTCAGGCTGTGACTCACCCATCCCCTCCTGCCTGGGACCTAACTCATCCCTACATACCCAATGGGGCTTTATTAAGGGATTAAGAGAAATCCTGCAGCGTGAGAGTGCTGCCCTGGTGGCCATCCATAACGGTAATGGAGTGTGTACTTTCCAGAAAGCCATGCAGCAGCCCTGCTCTGCTGTACAAACTGTCACAGAGGTTTTAACCCCTGCTGAAAAATACTTGTTTTCTTAGAAGCTGGCCTTTATCTAGGGCTTTAGCAGTGTTTTTTACTCCTTTAAGTTTAATGAAGACTGATGATGGAAAGCAAGTTAACTGTAAGGCTCAGCACTTCCTGGAATGCTTCTGTTTGTTCTGCATAGGTGCATTTAGTCCAAAATAGGTATAGTTTGGGATTTTCAGTAGAAGACAGTTGAACATAGATGGTTTTGAGTGGTAGGACCGCTCAGTTTATAACACATACAGGGTTTTTTTGTTAGCTCCAGGCATTCTCTGCAGCTGTATGTGAGTCTTAGTAGCTTTCAGGGTAAACGCTTATGCTTAACTGTTTGGTTTTTTTTGTATAATACTGACACTTGACAGTTAGGAAATGTGGATGGCAGTTTTGTAGAAACTGCAACTACATCTTTACAAAATATATATTTACTTGCGTAGGATTTCATACAACTTTCCAAAACACAGCTGTGCTTTTGAATGCCTTGGAGCTTACCACATCACAAAAATCATTGTGATTCCCTGAAGTGATTATTTTAGTTACTTGGTTTTAAACCCAATGCATTAGAACTTGCTGTAAAAGCAAGTAATATGAAACATGTGTTCAACATGTCACTTCTAAATGTCCAAAGCCAGTATTTTTAGCAACTGATTTCCTGAAGAAGAGAAGGTTCAAACGTTCTTGTCCATGTTTAAGGAAGGTATTTGTTTGACTTGAATGCTGGGCTTGCTTCTTTTGTTTCATTCTGCTTTGAAAAACTTTTTGTTTGCTTTGAGCTGCAGACAATATTTTTCTTTCTATTTTTCCTCTTACCCACCTTTCTTGAAACCCACAAGTTTTCTGAGGGTTGGACCCAGCCTGAGGTTTCCAATAGCCTGTATTGTTCAGAAAGTTGAAATGACTGGAAATTAAATTCGGGTAGTAAAAAAGCTTTGAAGAGGAAGAAACAGGAGGTGGTCAGGTGGGAAGGAAGGACAGAGTAGAAGCTGGAACAAGGAGTGCAGGAAGGTAGCAGTTTGCTGTGTTACCCCCTGGCACATGGCATTTCCTTTCAGAACTGTCTTGCCTTTTGTTGCTTTTCTGTCACTTGTGGGATTTTCAAAGGACTGTTCGTAACGGGGTATGGCAGGTGGTGGCACAGGAATTGGTGGAGTAATGAGAAGGGCTTTTCTTATGGAAAACCTGGAGCTCTGCATACTATTTTTATTAATGTTTGTGATGGCTCAAATGGAGGAAATCCACTTCTCTCATTGGGATGTGTGGATCCTTGAGCTGTTGACCTTACAACTCAAGAAGTCCTTCCTTTCTGTGACAGTGGCATGCATTGTTTTCCTTAGACTCCCTTTGCTGACTGCAAATATCCTTTCCATGTGCTTAACAAAGATAAATAAATTAGCCTTGTTGTGTGTTGGGCATGATCTGAACAATTGCTCCCCCTTTTCCAATGAAGCCTGACTAGGAGGCGAGAGGTGTTTTGACCTAGGAGTGGTCATAGGGTAGCATGAAGGTGCCTCCTCTGGAGAAGGCTGTGTGGACAGATTCACAGCTTCTGTGTTGCCAACCTGATTGTTTTGCCAGCAGTGAAACCTTTCCCGTAACACATTTTGAGGCTATTCTGGGTCTTTGTGAGCCAAAATAACCCTTGTTTGGCTAATATTTTTTTTTTAAGAAAATTTACATTTTTCAACTGAGTGTCTCAGGTAGAATCTAAAAGGTGAGGAAGTATAGAATAAGCCTAAGAAAGACATAAGGTGCTGGAGCAGGTCCAGAGAAGGGCAACGAAGCTGATGAGGGTTGTGGAGCACAAGCCTTAGGATGAGCAGCTGAGGTTGTTTAGTCTGGAGAAGAGGGCACTGAGAGGAGACCTTATTGCTCTCCCCAGCTACCTGAAAGAAGGTATTGGTCTCTTCTACCAAGTCACTAGCAAGAGGATGAAAGGAAATGGGGTTAAGTTATGCCAGAAGAGGTTTAGACTGCATATTGGGAGGAATGTCTTTACTCAGAATGCTGAGGCATTGGAACAGGCTGCCTGGGGAGGTAGTGGAGTCATCATCTCTGCAGGGGGTCAAAAAGCATGTAGACATGGTACTTCAGGACATGGTTTAATGGTCATAATAGTGTTGGGTTGAAAGTTGGGCTTGATGTTCTTAAAGGTCTTTTCCAACCTTGATGATTCTGTGAAGAGCAAAAGGAGAAGTGTGTGCCTGTCCCACCAACCTTCTTGCCTGTTTAGTGTTTCTCTTCCCTGAAAGTTTCTGTTCCTGCTGGATGGCAGAGGGCATTTCTCCTGCAAGCAGTGACACAGAGAAAGATTTTATGTGTTTGTGGGTATTTTGACACATCTGGCAGGCTGTGACTTGCAGGGGATTAGCACCAAGCTCTTCTAGGAAAGCAAAACTTGATGAAATCTCTCAAATACTGGGAAGCCCCAAATGACCATTTTTTTTTAAGTGTCCAGATCAGCTCACAGGTAGATGATGGTCTGGGGGATCTCAGCATCAGACTCCAGTCCAGCTCCCCACAAAGTTACTCATTAATTTTTCCTGATTTCTCCACTCTTCACCTCAGTTCACACTCTAGTGGCCGTGCATAGACAGCAGCTGGCAGGCTCTCTGGGTGCTGTCTGCTCCCCTCTGTAGCTGTTGGTATCTCTCCACATGTTTGCACGCTGTGGTCATGCTGCTGCCTTGCCGCCCCCTGAATCATTCTTGTCTAAATTGACTTATATTTAGCACTGTTGTTCTGTTCCCTGAGTCCATCCTGTCAGCTGCGTGACAAATCGCTGTTCCCTGAATGCTGTCCAATTTATAAATACAAATTACCACAACTTAGGGACCGTGTCAAACGTTTCTGTTCTGAAGTGTGCTCACTGAAATGCCCGACAGATGATTCTGGGACATACATGCCCCACAGCCGTGTGGCAGGGTGGACGAAAGGTGTGCTGGCATTTTCTGATCTCTCTAGAACCATTTGTAAATAATTTTATGGAATAACTTATGGGCTGGCTGGCTGAAAATCTGCCCTGAGGGTGTGCTTCTGGTGGCTGGAAGTTCTGACCTCTGGTGAGGCTTCAGGTGCCATTCCCGTGCAGTCCATGCAGTCCCCCAGGCAAGCCTTCCTGTGCCACGTGCAGTGGCTTCCTCTGGGGCAGTTTCTGGACAGGTACCACACTCCCCCGCAGCATGGCTGTGCTTGGAGAGCCCTTTTAGCAGCAGCTTCGGTAGAGGTGTGAGGATCATAAGAGATGGGCATGAAATCCTCCTGATTAAAAATTTTAAATACGTATTTTTAAAAGCATCTTCCAGCTTGTGTCATTGGGAGGATGCCAGTGTCTGCCCCTTAACACCTTCATTTTGACATGTTTTGTCCTTGTAGATCAATGTGTATTCTGAGTCGACCACAACACTGGAGACAAAAGTTTCAGTTGTTTTTGGGAGAAGTTCTCTCTTTGCGAGGAACGTGATTGAATTGTACATGACTGTGGAAGATGCCTCATCCCTCACACTGTTCTTTGGCATAGTCTGTTCACTGAAATGTATAGGAAGTATTACTAACAGTGCCTTTGTTTTTAACATGAGGCTCAACTGTGTAGTTGGACTGGGTAGAGGAAAACCAGTTTCCAGAGAAAAAAACATGAGCAGCTAGCCCGTCCATTGTCTGGACATTGAATCTTTTTATTTATCAATCTTTTTATTTATCAAATCTGGATTTTTTTACTAAGCATCAAGGAAGCATCAGGAAATACTTCTGAGATGCAGTAGTAAATTTTCCTGCCTAGCCATGGTTTTGGGTAATCCTTTTTCTTGTCTTCCTTTAGGCTTCCAAGATACCACAGAACTGCTGTCCACTTCTTGTATTTGTGAATCCAAAAAGTGGTGGTCTAAAAGGTCGGGATCTGCTATACAGTTTTAGAAAGCTGCTAAATCCACATCAGGTTTTTGAACTTACTAATGGTGGCCCACTGCCTGGGTAAGTCATCATATTTGAAATAAAAAATCAAATAAAATTATGTTGTTCATTATTTTTTTAAAAGATGGATGAGATTCAGTTGTTATGAAGATCTAAGTAGCTTCTGTTCTGTGCCTGAAGACCAGAGCAGTGGATCACTCGTTCTGACTGATTCTCACTCTGAAAACGGATTTAAACTTGGAGCTTCTCTGAAGAAATGAGAATAGAGTAGTTCTTGATGTATATGCTTCTGTCAAGCCTAACAGATTCCAGTCCTAGGAAAGTTATATGCACTTTGCAATAATGCAGATTTAATAATTTTTTAAAATAAAGACATTTTATAATCAAATCGGTGTGGAAAGAGAAATGTCACACTGCCTGACAAGGGCTTGGTTTTGCTTTTATTTCCTCTGATGTTTCATGGGAACTAACAAGAAAAGTACAATAAGATTTTTTATCTTGACTCTTGAAACTTGGCCACAACTGCAGAATTAACAGGGCCTGCCTCTTCCACAGCTGCAACATTTCTAAGTACAAGGAACAGAGCATAATGTACTTGCAGGGAGGCAGGAACCAATTATTGGTTTAGTCAACAACAGTTTGTTACCAGCTTCACAGAGCTGACACTGATGGTCGCAGAGTAGCCTCATTCCTTCAGCACTGCTTTAACAAAGAACGGTCATGAGAAGCTCTTCAAAACAAAAGCTTTCATGGGAGAAACGCAGCTTATACAGGAGGCAAGAAAAACAAGCAGCACTAAGTGTTTTGTCAGGATTGTATAATTCTGTTGTCTTTCTAATGCAGTTCAAGCTGCAACTTCAGTAATTTGTTCGTTTTGGTTTGTCTGGGGAATCCTTCTGAAGCCTGATGGCAAAAGCTTCCATTTGCTCATTGCTTCTGGTGCAATGGGAAATAAAAATTCCTTTACAGGATATCTGTCACAGTTTGAGGGTGGGCTGGCCACTGTAACATATGCTCTCTATTGACCCCTGTCCCCTTCCAGAGGGGAAGAGAAAAGGAGTAAGGGAGGGAGACATACAGATTAGAAAAGAGAAATAAACCAGCTTTAACAAAAATAATAATAATTAAAAATAGAATGTATGGAATGTAGATGAAACAAGTATTGAATCCAAGCCCCTTGATGGCCATTATGTCACTGTCCCCACTGATGCTGTGGACCAGGCATTGGGGAGGTCCCAGACTGGACTCAGCAGCAGATGGGAACCAGATTCACAGGCTAGCTTCTGACACTGGATTCAGGAACACATGGGTCAGGACTGAAGGCAGAACGGGCAGTGCCCTTCTCAACCGCCAGCCACAGAAGAAGAGAGCTTGGCCCTCGGGACCCCTCAGCTTTACACTGAATAGGACGGATCTGGGATGGAACACCCCACAGGTCAGTTTAGGGTCACCTGTCCTGACTGCTTCTCCCGCAGGTGCAGCACCTTTGCCTTTCTGCACCTGCAGCACAGTACACAAGATTTAGCAGTGACGTTGGTTTGTGCAGGAGCAAGTGTAAGCAGGAGTCTTTGTGCACACCCATCCTTGGTAGCATGGTGAACGTTAGTACATCTACACATCGAACATTTTCACTGCTAGAAGCAGGTGCTGTCTGCAAAAACCTGCCATTAACTTCAGCAAGTGCAGTTAGCTGGAGAGACTTAGCTGAAAAGTGAAACCACTGAACAGAATTAGTTCTGTTGTAGTTCAAGCCAGGACAATATCTCAGTATGTAGGATGAAAAGCTACAAAAGGTAAGAGCGACCAGGAAAATACTACTATGAAGAAGAAAATGTACTATAAGTCTTATGACTAAGTAAAAAGCCCAAACACCACTAGTCAACATCTCCATTTAGAGAGTTATAGGTGTTTACATTGAAACTATGAATAGATCTCAGTGTCTTTGGTGAAAAAGGAAATATTTAACAATTTGACTCTTAGCTATGAAGGATCTGAGAATAATGTGGTTTTAGTTCTTTTTTTTCATTCTTTTTACCCAACTGTATCTAAAAGTTCCTATTTTTCCATTCACTTTGTTGAAGTTGATCCTGAAACTTGATAGTAAACCAACAGGGGCAAAATCCAGTAATAACGTGTCTTAAATAGCAGATTAAGAAGCTTTGCTTTTCCTGTACTATGTTGTAACATCTTTCTGCTTTTCTGCGTGTCTCAACGTAGGTTTCACACTTTCTCTAAAGTTCCCTCGTTCCGAGTGCTGGTGTGTGGAGGGGACGGCACCGTTGGCTGGGTCCTTGGTGCACTGGAGGAGATCAGGCACAAGCTGGTGTGCTCAGAGCCCTCAGTTGCCATCTTGCCTTTAGGAACAGGTGAGAATCACAGTGAGCACCGTTGTTCTTTTGAAGGCAGAAGTTCTCCAGAAGGTTTATCTTTATGGCAAAACGCAGTTTTGTGATAGCAATCCCATTACTCAGTTCTGGTTGGTGTTGTAGAGCAAATGCAGTGTCATCTTTTCAAGGAAACGTTGGTCATGCTTTCTGAAGGAAAAATGAGTGGCAGGAGTATTGGTATGGATGCGTGTGAGTGGGCAGGAGCCGGAGAGGGCAAAATATTATCCCCCTGACAGCCACAGGTGCATCAGCCATTGCTGTAACCAGTGAACTCCACTGCTGCCTGACTTCTCAACTCCAGAACAGGTTCTGCCATCACCTTCTGTGAAAACTTTTCAGATGAGACAGTGATGCTAAGCACAGGTGCAGCCACAACTGTGCGTAGGTATTTTTTCTGCTCGTGAGCTTTTCAGTCCAATCTAACTACTTTTGTGACTAGTTTGGAGAACTGTAATGGGATTTCACATATAAAACAGGGCTGAGGCACCTTCTGATGCCTTTAGCTAACTTAGAAAACATAGTCATATGCTGGGGTTCTTCACTCTCACCCAGGTAATGACTTAGGAAGGGTCTTGCGCTGGGGAGCTGGCTACAGTGGGGAGGACCCCTACTCCATTTTGGTTTCCGTGGATGAGGCAGATGATGTCCTTATGGATCGCTGGACTATCCTTTTGGATGCAGAAGAGCCTGCTGAAGGTGCAGAGAATGGTGTTGCAGAACCTGAGCCTCCAAAGGTGAGCTGGGCACCATTTGGTTTTGATTCTTAGGAACTGTTGTTCTAGAAAAATAACAAAGGAGATAGCTATTAGTGTAGTTTAGTCTTCTGTTGTTCACCTGTCTTTGAGCCTGGGCCTTAGTGAGCTATTCCTTAGTGAACACAGTGTACATATGGAACTAGTGTTTCAGTTTTGGTAGGGCTGGTTGGCTGCAGAACACACTTTGTAGCTGTTTGGCACAAAGTATCTGAAAGAGGATTAATGAAGAGATTTAACTGACAATGGCATACTTATTTGCCTCAGTTGGAAATATGTTTATTTCTGAAATAGGAAAAGGTTTTTGAAGGAATGCCAAACACTTTTTTTCCAGAGCACTACTGAAACTGAAGTGTGTTGACCAAAAACCCTCCCAAAAAAACAATACTCTTTTCTTTCCTTTAACAGTTTAAAAAATGACTATGAGTTGCTAGCACATACAGGACATAAATCCTTCTGTTACCTTACTGCCATTGCATGTCTGTATATGTGGCATCTCGTGTAGTTTTTGGAGTGAAAGTCCCTGTCCCTTGGTTCATATTACTTCTTTCTGTTTAGGAAACCACAAGTCTTGATTGTAGATTCAGAGCTTTGCATGCATCATAGTTCTGTTTATCTTCAGACAAAACAAAGAAATTGGACATGTGAGTGGCAAAAAGCAATCAGGAAATTATAATAATGGTAGCAATTGTGTAGGATTTTGGTCTGGTCACTGGAAAATCCTAGACATCATGTGTCAGTGGGAGGATTTCAGTTCCTCAGGTTCCAGCTGTTTTTCATTTGATGGAGATGGGGGTTGGTCTGCCCTGAGTGACTGATGTACTTTTTAAAGGTGATAAGTGGGAGAGTCAGGGACTAGGATAGCAAAGCTGTGAAATGAAGAGGCATGTAAAGGAAGAATTAGTTGCAGAAATGGTTGAAATCTGTAGAAACTTGAGAATGGCATATAGGGAGCTATTTAAACTGCAGCTGAGTGGGTGAAGTCAAGATCCTCATTCATGTAGTGAAGAGCATCTTCCCAGTGATGTCATGACAAATCCATGGCTGATGCTAAAAATAATAGTGCCATTGACATTCATCAGCTTGTGTAGTTACTCATAGAATCACTTTGAGAAGTTTGGTTGGTTTTATTTCTGCATTTGTTTTTATTGCTGCTTTATTATGCTTGTTACTTACAATTAAGATGAAGTTTTTAAATTTCTGATACTCTGGAAATGCTCACTACACATGTCAACAGCTTTATTTTTAGTGCAGTGTTGCTGGAAAATGTTTTTGAGAATCCATCAGATGCAGGTGACTTGGAAGGATCATCTGCAAAGCTTGCTTTTGCTGAAAAACTTTGAGACCTCTTAATTTGTAAATGTAAGGGGGAAATAATAAGAATTTTTTTTTTTATCAGATTGTACAGATGAACAATTACTGTGGTCTTGGCATTGATGCAGAGTTAAGCTTGGACTTCCATCATGCTAGAGAAGAAGAACCAGGGAAATTTAATAGCAGGTAATCCTGGGAAAACTCTGTGATATTGCACAACTTCCAATTTGCACTATGGTTGATAATCCTGGAATGCTACAGGTGTCCACAAACAATATTGCTTGAGGCAGAACAGGAACAGGGAGGAACTAAGTTAGCCAGGAACTTGTAGGCAGGACATAGTACTGGGGGGGCCTGGAGCTTTTTGTTTGGTTGCTTGTTGTTGTTGGGTTTTTTGCTTTTACCCAGAGCTCCAAAGCAGGTTTTGGATTTTTTTAAATTAATTATGACATTAATAATTACATTAAATTTTGAATTATTTTTGTCATTAATATTCTTATTA